AATCAATTTCTTGTCTCCAGCCTTGTATTGATGCATTATTGAAAAGATTTGAGAGGAGAGAGTGGTGGTTTTGTTTTGATGTTGGCTTAAAAAAATGAAGGCTTCCTGTATTAACTGACAATAGAAAAGCCCTCTTTAAAGCTTCCGTCAGCAGAAAACCATCTCATATTGGCAAGTCAGGCTTGTAGGATAGGCAGAAGGGCAGATGGATTATTTATAACTGGCTAGTCTAAAATCCCAAGCAAATATACATATATACATATATAAACATATACATTATATATATAAATATATGCACATATATATATATATATATATATATATATATATATATATATATATATATATACACTGCCCTCCAAAAGTTTGGAAACGCCTGAACAAAATAGGGTTTTTGGGCAATATCAGCATAAATCCTCTTTAGTTAGTGACCATTTTGCATTGATAATAAGGGACAACATATATATATATATATATATATATATATATATATATATATATATATATATATATATATATATATATATATATATATTACCTGGAGCAGGTAAGTGTGGCATTTGTCATCCAGACACATGGCAAGCTGGCTTGAAGTTGTTTGTTTTGCAGCAGTGGGACATCTGTGGAAGAATTCTCAGACAGCAGGCAGGAAATGATCTCTGGATATCAAAAAATAGATGTATATATATGTCAGCTATTTTTTTATTTATAAGTTTGGCTGAAAGTTTTGTTTGGGAGCTTTAGATTGAGGCATTTCTATTGTTTTTGTAATACATAAACATACATGTCGATAACACAGTGGTATAAAACAAGTCATTGCACTTTAGTGGACATAGTAGTTTATTATAGTAATTAGTAATTACTGAAGAACTACTATGGTAACACTTGAATAGTTGCTGGTAAGTTAGCGAGTACTTAAGCATTATTTATGAACCCATAAAGTAAAACGCTACCAAAAAACTCATAATATAGCCTAGAAATGGCACCAACCTGATACCAGCAAAAAATGGTGGATCAGATATTGGAGAAAAAAGACCACAGTTGTTTCGATCCTGTAGCAAATATAGCCTGAGATATCTGAGAATTGCTTGTAGCAACAACGGAAAGCAGGCGAATGTAGGTCACGCGAGAACAACAATAGCCGCATGGCCTATGGATAACAACAGCAACAAAAGAACACCCTGTGTAAAGTAGGAGTTGTTATCATGTCAGTTGTGTGGAAATACTTCACTCTAAAGGATCTTTTTTTTTGGCAAACCTTACCAGGAAATATTTATTTATTTCCTGGTAAGGTTTATATCTGGCATTATAATGATTTATTTTCTATTTTGGTTCATTATGAACAATATTTTTAAATTCCTGCTCCAGAGTGCCGTCTCCCTCTTTATTTGGAAACTAGTTAAAAAAAACTCTAAGTTAATAAGGTTCTTTACATGATAGCCTACTGTACTTATAGGAAGCCTAAATAAAACCAACCACTGCATTTAAACAGAAATGTGTATTTATTTTCAACATTTGCAGTGTGATTTCTTGCTTGCAGAATTGTAGGAAACAAACACTTTCTACACAGATTTTCCTGCCATTGCCGCACCTTCCAAAACCCAGCTATAATTTTTACTAACATCATATTTTCCTGTAGGCTGGTGTTCAGGATAGGAATTTAGGCCTGTTGAGAAGAAGTTAAGGTTTAGACTATATTACTTTGAAATTACACTGGAGCAGAAAAATAACATTACTATTAAGCATGCTTAAGCTTTTTTTTTTAAAATAAGGTTAAATAAGGTTTTGAGTCTTTAGTGATTTGAGAGAAAATTTTTGATTACATTCAATGAAACAATTTGTTTGTTTGTCTGTTTTTTATTTTCATTCCTGTTCCTTTTTAATACCCAGTTTACATATAAAAAGACTTGATTTTACACACACACACATATATAGACAGTCATGTGAAAAAATTAGGACACCCCATTAAATATTCAGTTCTTTATTAAGGAATGTCAACATGTCCATTTCTGATCTTGTTTTAATTTGTACCTGTAGATGAAAGTGATGTAATTGCATGTAAACAACAAAAATCGCTTTGTTTTCACTTATTAAACAAAAGAAATCAACAAAAATGAGTATTTCAACTGAGGAAAAAGTTAGGACACCCTGTGCCCTAATAGCTAGTGTTTCCCCCTTGACATAACCTCAATGAGACGTTTCTTGTAGCCCTCTACCAGTTTCTGACATCGACTGGAAGAACGTTTCCCCCACTCCTCAATGCAGAATTCTTGTGATGTGTGATGTTTGAGGGGTTTCTTGCGTGCACAGTCCGTTTCAAATCACCCCACAGGATCTCAATAGGATTTAGATCTGGGCTTTGACTTGGCCATTCCAGAACTCTCCATTTTTTACTTTTCAGCCAGTCCTTGGTGGATTTACTGGTATGTTTTGGGTCGTTGTCATGTTGCAAGGTCCAGTTCTACTTCATGTAGAATTCATAGTGGATTCTGTGATGGTGAGCTGGCCAGGTCCTGCTTCAGCAAAGCATCCCCAAACCATAACACTTCCACCTCCATGTTTCACAGTTGGTATGAGGTTCTTTTGCTGAAATGTTGTATTTGGTTTACGCCAAACATGCCCTCTGTTATGGTGTCCAAATAATTCAATTTTAGACTCATCTGTCCAAAGCACATTATTCCAGAAGTCTTGGCCTTTGTCTGTGTGTTCTTTGGCAAACTTCAGTGTTGCCCTCATGTTTTTCTTAGACAGCAAAGGTTTCCTCCTTGCACACCTCCCATGATAATTAAAGCTGTGCAGTCTCTTTATGATTGTGGATTCATGCACTTTGACATCAACTGTAGCAAGAGCTTGCTGTAGGTCCCGTGATGATATTTTAGGGTTTTTGGAGACTTCTTTAAGCATCTTGCGGTCTGCTCTTGGGGTGAATTTGCTTGGACGGCCTGACCTGGCCATGTTGGCAGTTATTTTAAATGTTCTCCACTTGTAAATGATTTTCCGGATAACAGAATGGCTGATTACAAATTCTTTTGAGATCTTTTTATATAACTTACCAGACTCATAAGCATCAACAATCTTCTTTCTGAAGGCCTCAGAGAGCTCTTTGGATCTCACCATGGTGATACCTCTCACTTCAACAATTAAGAGCAAATCAAACTAAATGTCTGAGGTTTAAATAAGGCAAGCCTCCTTCAAAATGCTCTGTGATGATGTTCTAATAATTTGTACCTAATTCTACCTGTTCTAATAATAATTGTGATACACTTGTAGGTAATTTTAGCCATTTTAAGTACAAATAAATGTGGGGGTGTCCTTATTTTTCCTCACAAAAAAATTGAATTTTTAAAATTACATTTTACAGATCATTTTAAAAAGACTTTTCTTTGGTTTTATTTGTTTATTTATATTACTTGAATCTCCCAATATTGTTAATATACATTATATATATATATATATATATATATATATATATATATATATATGTGTGTGTGTGTGTGTGTGTGTGTGTGTGTGTGTGTGTGTGTTTGAAAGCCTAAAGAATTGAAATTGTGAAATATTAAATAAAAAATTGAGTCATGACTTACCCATGTATTTTTTCACTATATTTTTTAATTGGTAATTTTAAAACTTAGTAGTTTTTAAAGAACAAAACATCAGATGGGTATCAATATCAGTACTGGAAAAGAAAAAGTGTTATTCTGCCATCTCTAATATGGACATAAAATGGACAGTCAGAAGTGAACTTGTTGACTGAAGATACCATCATGTACTTTAAATTCCGAGAAGAGCTTCATTACGAATGCCATCACAGGTGCTTCATTTCTCTGCATTTTAACAAACAGTTCATAAAATGCCGCCTACATCTTACTCTGGTGGCTGTCTGCATTGTTTTACTGTTTTCTCAACTCCCACAGACTAGCATCCTGGCCCAAAAGTCCCATTACAGCCTCCAACAGACACAATCCTTTAATAAATTGGCATGAACAAAACTGCATAATTCTCTCCCCCTCTGTCTCACTTAGAAATTACCGATATGTTCTGGGATACGATTGCATCACCCAGGTGGGTGCTCAACATCCATGGCATCCATTATTTCGAAAAATGGTGCAGTGATTCATTCAAAATGTAAAAATTCACACAGTTAGACATATATCTTAACCATTAGCCTTCTCACACAAACCAAAATTTGGCAGTGCTCGATGGGGGAGTGTTATATAACATCATCTGTTTTATCCAATTTTGTACCCACTTGTGCCTCCCAGGAAAAGTACCACTGTAGTAAAAAATGTTGTAAAACCCCATCTTGGCAGCATGACTCCCTGCTCTCCTTTATTAAAACTGCTGAATTTTAAATTCCACTGTTTATATCCATGGTTCTTAAATAAGAGCTGAGGATATTATTATTATTATTATTATGGAAATCATTATGAAAGCTATTACATTTGCTACATTCTTATAGTAATTAACCTATTTTACTTGTCAATCATGGAAAGTATTCAAACCTCAAAACAAATAGACCTATAAATGATGTAAACTTGATTGTAATGGCAAAAATGTTAAAATTTAAAAATGTACTCTGAGAGTGGAGGATTCTGGAGTTAATAAGCTTCCTGGTGTCAAACACGTGGAAAGATTATACTGTACACTTACATTTGAATACATTTAAATTATGTTCATTAATGAAATCTGTGGGGTAGTGTGTATGGCTTATTATTATTATTATTATTATTATTATTATTATTATTATTATTATTATGGTTGTTGCTGATGTTGACGATGATGATGTTTTTGTTTGTATGTCTTTTTTTTTTTCTTGAACAGGCATTTATTGGAATGTTGCGGTCTCAACAAAGGGGATACAAAACTGTACTTTTCCTTATGCTGAAAAGGGGTGCTGCCTTTTGTATCTTTTGCTATCTTTTGTCATTTTAATTCATCATATGACCAAAAGTATGTGGATGCTTGACCGTCAAACCCATATGTCAGCCCTCCATAAACTTTGGTGGTAGCTCAGTGGTTAAGGTGTTGGACTCCTGATTGGAGGGTTAAGAGTTCAAATCCCTTAAGGCCCTTAATTGTCAACTGCTCTGTTGTATAAATGAGATAATTGTAAGTTGCTCTGGATATGGGTGTCTGCCAAATGACGTAAATATAAATGTAAAAAAAAAAAACTGTTGCCACAAAGATAGAAGCACACAATTGTCTAGGATGTCTTTGTATGCTGTAGCTTTACACTTTACCTTCTACGGGTGTGATGGTCAGGTGTCCACAAACTTTTGGCCATATATGTTATGTATCTTTCACTGGATATGTGAATATATATATATATATGTTATATCTTTTTAAAAAAAGATTTACGGTACATAATTGGACCATACTGACCTTTTAGAGTAAAACTTTAAAGGTACCATATATATATATATATACCTTTCTAAGTTAAAGATACATACTATTTGTAAAATGGTGTACCCTTAATAGTGCCACTACAATGACAAGAAATGTTACAGTTTAGTTCCTTCATTTTCTGAAAATGTGTGGTGTTTACATTACAGACAGCATTTACTAATAAAGTAAGAGACATTGCATTGTAGTAGGAAAAGAAAAATCTGTGGTTTTGCCATGCAAACACAAGGTTACACTATCTTTACACTATCATTCCTGGTTGTGTAACCAGGTTGGGGCCATGTGCGCATAGCATGCAGATATCTGTATGATGACTGATGATAACATTATTGCACACTAGTTTGATTTCACATCACCTTATTCGAGGTTTGTATATACCTTGCTAAAACTTTAGCCTCGATGAACTTTCTAGTTCTCTGTAGCAATGTAGCATATTATGATGTGTCTGATTAAGCAAAAATGCTATGGTGGATTTTCACATCCTCTCATCATTAGGATTATATAAATACAAATGCAAAAGATGCTAAGAGGCTCGTTATGCTTTCGCATTAAAAAAGAAACACTCACTAACAGTGTGGCTAATGGAAATCAACATGAACTTGCGTAAACTTTGCAATAATTCTAATGGGCAAGAATTATTATTTTGAATTTCCTGCTGTATTATCGAGGTCATGGGATAATTACACCCAGTCCTAACCCTCACACTAACTTAACTGCTTATACCATAACTTTTAGATCATTTCCCTGCTTTAATTTGCAATTATGAGGTTACGGCCTGCCGTAACACTCCCTGTGTTGTATGGTTTGGCTGTATTCAAAAATCAATAGACATCAGTATAAGCTTACAGATTTGGTATTCAGATTATCTGCTGTTAACAAATATCTTAGAGTGGATTATTTTGGACTTTTGTCAAACCAAGCGCAATAGGAAAAATCCACCGAATGGTATGAAGAAGTGAGACCGGGGCTGATTTTCTTTCTAGCCCAGACTGGAAATTCATGCGATCAATACCTAGACTACCTGTGACTATCAGTGACAGTTGTATCAGGTGATTAAACAAAGTGAAATGCCCCCTAGATTTGATCTTCATTTGGGCTGATATTTTCCAGCCCACGTCACTGAATGCTATATCCATAACACATCATCAACAGTGATTGAGAAGGTTCATGTACATTTGCGGATGTAATAAACATGGCCATGAAATGAGGTGGATTATTTATTCTGTAATAACTTTTTCCCCAGAATGCATTTGGTGGAGAAAGCAAAAGTAGGTAGACATTGATCAAGCAAAGTACAATTTACACAGAAGTGTTTTTTTTTTTTTTTCTTTAGAAGAAGTGTTGCAACTTTTCTGTTTATCATGCTGGAATTCAGATTAGAAAAATGACACGAACCCATTCACAAATCACAGACTAGAAACAATAGAAACAACCAATAAAGCTGCATAGCTGTCTTTTAGTGTGTGTGTGTGTGAGTGTGTGTGTGTGAGTGATTCATATCATCCCAGTAAGACCCTGTAATGTAATGCATTAGTTAATTCTAACAAGTTTATTTAATTGTTAAGCTATTGATAGATAAAAATTAAGAGGTACAACCATCACTGTAGTATGTTGGAGCGCTCTATCTATAAAAGTCAACAGGGAACACTAGCTAGGAGAGAGATGTAGAGAACTATCTCCACCTCTGTCATAGTTCCACCTGATCAGACCAACCTAAATGTCTTTGCTTCATGTTTTCACACATGTTGATGTCGTAACTTTAGTCTATTGCAATTATAACTGAAGTACTAGTTGAGAATTATTAAGTAAGGTAAAAAAAATAAAATAACCTTTGGGAAGTTATAGGAAATTATTCCATGGGAGGGTTGTGTGATTGTGTTGCCACCCTGAAGTGGATTATTTGCCTATAAGAGCATGTCACAATGTGTAAAGCATTAAATATAACACTTTGGGACATGCTTTTATAGGAAAATAATCACACAACCCCTCTCATGGATTAATTTCCTATAACAGCACTTCTCAAAGTGTTTTATTCATCTTATAGCATAGTAGTTTACCACTGATTACAATTCATAATTCAGTAATGTATACACATGGGGCTTTAAGTACAGATCCATTTGTGGTGAAGATTTTCCCATGGTGGAAAACATACTGTCTCAGCTGTGGCAGAAACAGTTACAGTTTCAGCTATGGGCTATTATTATTAAAGCAAACAAACAAATCCAAACACAAGACTGTAGCATTGTCAGAATCAATGCAAGGGCCAGGTGATGAATGAACAGACTTAATGAGGGAAAACCAGAATCGAGAAATCAGATGAATCAAAACACAGTACAAATCTTGTTATGTCTGGACACAAAGGAACACTGGACGATAGTCTGCATTGGGTAAGTGAAGTTTGACAGTGATTACGCATACACATGGCACTGTTACAAAGTGCTAAAACTGATCTCCTTCCATAACTGTTAAATAAATGTCTCTTAAAATAAACCTTCACCATATCAGTGATTGCAGTGTTTCCTTTTTTTATCTATATTTTTATGAGAAGCCCATAAATTATTTGTCTCCTAGCATTTTTCATTCATAATACAGTTACACTGAGTATCTTCTTCTTCTTTCGGCTTTTCCCTTCAGGGGTCGCCAGAGCGAATCATCACTCTCCACCTATCCCTATCTTCTGCATCCTCAACACTTGCACCCACTAGCTTCATATCCTCATTTATTACCTCCATAGACCTCCTCTTC